ACTATCTTCTATAAATTCTTTTAAACTTGAAATATTTACTCGAAGTATCTCATTTAAACTAAGATAAAAGCATATCAATAAATAAATGTTTCAGCTCAAGCTGTAAATCTGTTGCTGTGCTTTTATTTTTATCTTACGTAAACTTACAGTAAGTCTTGTTTTTAATCACACAACTTACACACTGTTTAATAAAACCCTGTCAGGTCACCATGATTAGTCAGCACAAATAACGTTAGCTTAAATCTACCTCCTCCTTGTACATCTGTAACATGACACATTATCACAGATTTAGGTAACCAAAGTGAACGTAAACAAATACCTGTTGTACTCCGGACGTGTTCGGTACATGCAGCAGTGTTTTTGTTCCGGTGCAGAAACATCGCAGATGTGAAGCTCATTGCGCGTTGTCGTCTTTTCTGTTTAGTTTTAAATGTTCCCATGCTTTTTATAATTTGTCGTTTTTTGGGGCGCTTCGTTTCGGCACTCTTCGTCTTCTTCTAAAGCTAAATATAGCGCTTAGCAAGCATACATGCGTGATACGTCGACAGTAACTAGCGGAAGCGCTAACATCGTAGCATTGCGTAACCCAAATAACATTCCGGCTGGATGAAAGTGTTTTGATAACAGTCTGTATTTGCCTTTAGGATTTTTTGTAATCAAATTACTCGAGGAATCGTTTCAGTCCTAATTCAGGGAGTACTTTTACTTTTTGTTTTCCGAAAAAGGTTACCAGAAAAAATGGAATATTCTTAAAACAACAAGTACATTTTGATTAATGTAGACAGTATTTCAAACCAGGATTGTTGTTGTTGTTGAGTTGGTGTTGTTGTATTTTTTTAGGCACCCACACTTCCCACTAATTTTTCTAACTGGGTGTATTTGTGTTCATTAAGTTCTGTGTCTGCGTTGAGCTGTGGTCACAGAGCTGAAACAGTCAGCGTGTGGAAAAATAAGCCGGTGCCGTGGAACGATAATGGGATGAAGTGACGACATCGGGTCCGACCGTGGGATTAAACAAYAGCAAACACATTTCTTACAGAGGGAGGATCGATGTTGACGCACAGCAACTTTGTATTTAGTTCAAAATAAAACTGAATCACAAACAGGATCACCCAGATGATTCACGGTGTTTTGAAAATAATACGAGGGAGACGTCCGTCACTTTTATTTATTCTGCTTCATGTTAACTCAGATGAGTTTTACTCCTCGTCTCWTTTGGTTCCACAATGTTCACTTCTGAAAGCTCACGTCTGTGCGGGACATGGCCGATTCATTCTGATTTATAAACAACTCAAAGCAACACAGACAGGCTGATCTGTGTGGCCGTTACGTGGAATTGAACTGCCTTCAGTTTTTTTTGTACCATTGGTAAAGGCAGGTCTTTCATGGGATTCTTTGTGTTCTTACTGAACAGGTTTAGTTGAAACTGGGCTGACATGTTTGTTTAGCTCTTTGTTGTTAAAATATATTGACTTTTGTTTCTTTTTTTCCAGTTCAAACCAGGTTAGATCTCAGTCTCTCTCTCTTGAGTAATGCCTTCTTGAACTTGTTTTCCTTGTCTTTGGAATGCAAACCTGACACGTTTTATCACAAACATTTTACAACTCTAACCCCGCCAGACATTCATGTTCCAACACTCGGCCAGATTCAGTGCTCTGAAACATTGCACATTTAATATAATCTGACGCAATGACTGATAAATAAATGTACGTGATCTCAGTTCAACAGAGAGTAAAGAGGATCAAACTACTCATCTTGTTTTTAAAACAACGTCCTGCTGAAAAACCTGTATTCTCCTGGTTCTCACGTACATACTTCCACCCATTTTCCACATTTTTACACAACAGTCACACCCTCCACATGACAAACAGAACTTTTTTACAATTCCAGCCTCCACCCAGCAGCGCAGTGGACTCATAGCACTGAAACAAAATAATCTGAAATGATTTCAAACTCTCCACACAATAATCTGAGATTTAATATTATCTGTAGGAAGGAAGTCCAGTCCATGAGCCCACCTCCCACATTTTTATTTCCTTTTCATTGGTTAAAACACATTTTGCTTTGTTCGATACAGGTTCTGATTTGGTCTGAAACATTTGGGGAGAATAATTWATTGTCTTCAATCGTTCCCTAAACTATTCCTTGATGTTTTACAAATGACGTTTTGACAGTTGCTAGTTTGCAGTGGTGGGCACAGTTCTGCTAATACTGACACTAGCTTCTCATTTAGCAGATTTGCTTCAACTTCAGAAACTGTTAGCGCAAACGGATTAGCTTCTGCTAATTTTAAGTCCAATAAAAAAATTTGCAAGTGTAAAACTTTAATTCAGGATTAATTACATAAAAATAAAAGTTTTACGCTTGCAAATTTTTTAATTGGACTTAAAATTAGCAGAAGCTAATCCGTTTGCGCTAACAGTTTCTGAAGTTGAAGCAAATCTGCTAAATGAGAAGCTAGTGTCAGTATTAGCAGAAC